GATGGAGAAGAAGGGGGGAAAAATAAAGTCGGCGGAGCAACAAACTGTCCCGTCGTCATGGAGTCCCATTACACTGGGACACGTTCAGAAGTGCGTGAATTGCGGGCGGGGTATGTACGTAAGAAGAAAACCTCGAAAATGTCGAGAGGAACGGAAAAGGGGAAAGTACCTCCACTCTCGGCGGAGAACCAAGTCGTCAATTATGTCAATAGTCAGTGCAATAGTGCCCTCTATGACTCCTACAGTTGGTGCGGATCATGGGACGTAAAAAGCCGGGAAGCAGCGACCCCAACACCAGCACCAGCAGCAGGAGGAGGAGGAGGAGGACGAGGAGGAGGAGTAACAGGAAGAGGAGGAGGAGGAGGAGGAGGAGGAGGAGGAGGAGGAACAGGAGGAGCAGGAAGAGGAGGAGGAGGAGGAGGAGCAGGAAGAGGAGGAGGAGGAGGAAGAGGAGTAACAGGAAGAGGAGGAGGAGGAGGAGGTGGTGGTGGTGAGGTTAATAGCGCCGAAAGGACCACAGCTGTGCGTTTATTGTTAGTTAGTGGGGGAGAGGAGAGAGGAAGGAGAGGAGGGAGGAAAGAATCAACGGATGGTAATCATGGCAACGACACCCATGGAGAAGGAGGAGATGTTTTAATGACACGTCAGCATTATTACTCCCCTGCGCGCCGATTTCAAAGATTGGGCCGGAACGCCGTGCGCAATTCCCCTCCCAAGCCTCATTTTGAGCTGACGTCACCAGAATCATGGTCCAGTACGGGAGTGATGTCGGGGGGATCGAGAGAGTCCGAGAGGAAAAGGCGGGTGGAAACAGATGACGCGAATCTGAAAATGGCGGGAACAGCAGCACGAGCAGACTGCTACCATGGAGTGTCGACGTGTCGACGCCTCGTTCTGCCACGTGGCAGTTGGCATCACCATGACCCTCGCCTAGGGAGACAGACGAACAACGACAAAAGGTTGTCATCCTCCTCCTCGTCATCATCATCATCAGCACCGGCGGAAGCGATCCCGCCGCCGCCGCCGCCTACCCGACAATATTTCGAGTACAGAGCTGTCGTCCTTGCCGGGCCTAATACCGACGGTGAGGGTCGTGTGAAGGCCTACGCTTCCCGATTTCTGCCTCCCTCTTCCTCTTCCTCCTCCTCCTCCTCCTCCTCCGCCTCCTCCTCGTCGTCATCCTTGTCTTCATCGTCCCGGTCGCGATCGCGACCCGGAACGGTGGGGGAGAGAGCTGAAAGCAATCCCGATCCTGATCGAAGCCACCTAGAGAGGAGGGCGGCGCTGCGTGTGCCTAGAGGCGACATCATCGTGGGCCGCACGTTGGCTGAACGATTGCCGCCATCCGATTACGGCATGGATTTGTCGGTCTGCCACGACAGCTGTGCGGTTGTGGGCAATTCCGGCGTCTTGCTGCGCGCCGAGGCCGGAGAGGAGATCGACGGCCACGCGGCCGTCTTGAGGATCAACCTGGCGCCGACACGTCGTTACGAAAAACACGTCGGCAGGAAGACCACGTACGAGTTCTGCAACAGAGAGAACGCCCACCGGTTGCTCGTGAATAGCGGCGACAAAGACGGTCGGGATCGCGATCCTCCCCTTCTGCGGAGACTACGGCGCGAGCCGCCGCGCGCCGCGTCAGCATCATCATCGTCATCGTCGTCTTCCAGTATGCCGCCGCCGACGATCATCTTCTTCGAAGTGTACTCTGGCGTCAATCGGAGAACAATCTACCGTCCGATTTTGCGGAAATACCCTCACCTAAGAGTCCATTTTCTTGCCCCGTCCTTCGTGCAAATGGCACACGAGTTATGGGCCGAGCTGAAGCAGATAGTTGAGTGGGAAGTGGACCAGCAGCAGCAGCAGCAGGGGGAGGAGGAGGAGGAGGAGGAGGAGGAGGAAGGGGAGGAAGGGGAGGAGGACGAAGAGGAGGAGGGGGATGGAGGAGAAGCGAAGGGCGATGGCGATACCGACAAGGATCATAATAGAGACGAAGAGAAAAAGAGCGGGAGGGGTAGAGGTAGAGGTAGAGGTACAGGTAACCACCCCCCCCCACCCCCCACCCCCACCAGGAAAAGATTTCATAGGAAGCCCATGAGCGGGTTCTTGGCTGTCGTTTTCATGTTGCAAATCTGTAGACGAATCACCTTATATGGATTTGACGCCTTCGGATCGGGATCGGGATCGGGATCGGGCTCCTTGTCCAGTCAAGTGCCTCAAGTGGTGGTGGGCGGCGGGGGAAGCTTCGGGAGAGGAAGCTTCAGTGAAGCTTCTTCCTGGATGGGTGGGGGACACTTGAATGAGTCTTGGGCGCGGTTGGGGGGGTCCAAGGGGGGGGGCACGAAGAACTCGACTGCGGAGGCGGCGTCGTCACTGTTTCCCTTGACGTCAACGAAATCGGCAAGGTACCATTACTTCGACAGGGTTCGGGGGTTAACGAAAGTGCACTCGTTCGATCTGGCGATCGAGGCGTTTCGAATTTTGGCTTTGCAGTTCCCAA